GCAATAAAAACAAAAACAACAAGTAACTACTTCTTTTGCTATTATCATTACTACTACAACAATACATGTGTTCTACTATTATTACTACTGCTACCACAGCTGCTGCTGCTACGACTACGACTACGACTACGACTACTACTACTACTACTACTACTACTACTACTACTACTACTACTACTACAACTACTACTACTAGAACTACTAGGCTACTGCTACTACTATCTGCACTGAAATTGTAATGGAAGGAATGAGTGAAACAGACTATAAACTGCTTTTCTTGCGTTCACCCAATGAGATAAGCTGACCTTTCACATCAAACATTTAGACCAATCAGAACACAGCCCGCCAAGCGTCATCGGGTGAGCGTCGACGGATACAACTGAGAGACCAAAAATCGGTAAATAATACATTTATAACGATTTCATTGTATTATTCCCTTTCTTTGTGTTATTACATAACATATTGATATGTTTGCTTTGATGAGGGTGTCGATTTCTTATTTTACCTGTCTTGCTTTCCGTGATTTGGGATTTCAATGTGCCGCATTATGAAGCCCCACGCTAAACTCGACGTTACCCACTGTCCTCTAGACTCTACACAACTCTGTGCCACTTGCTTCTCACTATCATTACTAGCCTACTAATCTAGTGCAAAGATACTGTCTGAACCTTGTTTGTGATACGTATTTGGTGTATACGTATTCGTATGCATAAAAGAATAATACATTTTTGAATGACGGTGAGATTTTGGCCCACACACACCAATTGAAAGATTATTATTGTTGACGGTCCGTCGTTGTGACCTAGATCTGGATAATTGGGTCTGTTGACTTCCGGGATGTCATTTACTCAACTTTCGATATTGAATATTGCTCCCTCCCCCCTTCCCCATTAAATTTCTCATCAATGAAATTTGAAACGTGCTAAACGAAGACACCACAATTAACAGATCAGTTTGCGTTTGTGGGGCAGATTTTGGGTGCATTTCTACATTCACTCCTGCACACAGAAGATTTGCACTGCTGGGTCTGGGTTAAAAAAGGGTCAAATCACCGTATTGGTATTGTCATTTTTCATTTTTGAATTTTTGGCTGCAGTGCAGTTGCAGAATACACTCATTTCATGTCATATTCGAGATCTAGATCTAGATCTAGAAGGTCTGTTCATTAGCTTATAGTTATATGATTCAATTCAACATTTAAAAAAAAAGGTAAAATTGAAGATTAGCAGACCACCTTCCGGGAATACTTTTTTTGACCCTAAAAACTGTCACAAACTTATAATAATATAGGCCTAGAGATCTAGGTCTAGAATTCTAGATCTAGAATCTAGATCTAGAATTCTAGATCTAGATCTACTAGATTCTAGATCTAGAATCTAGATTAGATCTATCTGGAGATCTAATATTTTTGTGGCGAAGCTAAACTACGCTTTATTTTCAATGATACCCCCTCCCCCGCCTTATGCATGGGATAAAAACGAGTTACAAAAACGTATTAGCAGTTTTATCACATTCTAGATCTATGTGATTCGTGTAATATTGCAGAGAGAATTAATTGCTTCTTTTTTATAAATGTTTTTGTTGTGAAGAGGAGGGGAAAACGGAATGGCCACATTTTATGTCTGTAGTTGTTTTAAAGCAGTAAGCAGTTTCTCAATCTTAAAATTTTTTAATTTTTAACAAGCCCTTTATCAGCAGTTTCACAGTTTCTCAAAATATAAATAATTACTTAAGGTGGACCAGCTGATGGAGTGTATCTCCTTGAATCTTCCTCTGTTGTTTTTGTTGTCTTGCTCTTTCCCAGTATTAAGCGACTGCCATTGTTCTCAGTCGAAGTGCTTCATTTTACTATTAAAAAGTAAAATGAGCAAGTAGACAAGTGAGATACTGACTCTTTGTGTGATGTTATTTTTGGAAATGTTTGAAGAGTGAAATTTTTGTGCCGTTTTTATCTTTCCAGTAGTTGCTGACAGTTGCATTTATCTTGCGTTCGTTTTGTTTTGAGTTTAAAGTTTTGGGACAAACATACTGTTACACAGGTGAGTGCTTCCTCTTTTGAAATGATGTAGACATTATTTACTCATTTAATAATTATTGACTTATTCTTCTTGAATTCTATTTCTTTAGCAAACCACATGATTCAAGTGTAATTAGATAGCACCTCACAACAAAACTGTTTGATTTGGTGTGAAAGGGAAGTTGAAATTGACCTGATGATAAAAGAAAGCTGTGTTGGAATATTTTTGTTAAGTGAATAAGTAGCCAGTGTGTTGCAAGTAATCTGGAGAAAATGAAAAATGCGCGCGCGCATGTTTTTATGATTGAAGAAATCTGTTGTATGTTTTTTATTTTCTATTTTTCCTTTACAAAATTTAATTTAACATTCAGAGACGGTTTGGAAGTGTAAAATGTATGCAAAAACTTTGGGTGTTGTGTATAACTGTATTAATAATTATTTTCTATTTTACATTAATATTAAAATTTAATTACCTAACAGTTTTTGGTATTGGAAAAGTTGAGTTTATATTTGTTCTACCTTATTTGTGTTTTCAGGTCTTACATGGCTGTGTTGATTGATATGGTCCATCAATAAGTATATTTGAATATGGCACCCACAAAGGTAACTATATCTTATTTTGTTGCAAAGTAATTTGTGCTTTTATCACATCATAGGATAATATTGTTTTTTCATTAAGCCATCGTGGGTTTTTTTTTGTTTGTGTGAATCATTTTCTGTTTTTACTTGATAGGTTGTGTGGTTTGACTCTTGACAAGTTCAGTGGATATGTTCCGCCCCCACATAAAAAAATTGAGGTGGTTTTCTAGAAACTTGATGGTGATGAACATACACACACAGTCACATGTGCACTGACACACCCTGTGATGAGCAAACAAGAGCCAGACAGGTGACATAATATGCTCCAATGGTGAAACAGCCACTACAGTCGATGTGGGTTGTCTGTCTTCAGCTTCAGTGTTGACTTAAGTTAGGTTGTTCATGTGAAGTCACTTTTTTGACTCTGTCCAAGGGGCAGCATGGTAAAGTTTTTGTCACAAAAAATGTAGTACATTAGGCGATTGCTTATATAGCATGCATCTCAAGTGACAAGAAAAGCATGTTCTTATGAGAACAGTAATGTGCTGTTCAGCAAAATTTGAAGTGGAGTGATCTAAAGTGAAGTATTTTATTGAATTTCATTGATTTATGTGGATCACCTTGCATCTGATTACTTGCAGTGGGTTGCGTCATTGAGCTGAGCTTGCCCCAAGGGGTGGAGAAAATGACCATCATAATTACAGCACAGCCCTCTCACACTGTCCTCCTGCCACACATGGCCACTGGATGGCTTTCAGTTTCACACCTTGCCCCTAAATATCTTTTTCTCCCTGCCAAAGTCACATCTTCAAGTAATGTTTTGCTTGCATGGCTTCCATCAGTTCCAAGAGAAATGAGTAATTTTATGGCTGGTCTGTTTCTGACACAAGCGTAGGAATGATTGTGCTATTAGTTATCAATTTGGAATCTGCTCTTGGAAGTGATAAAATTATGTAGGAAAAAATTAGATTCTGCTTAAGGCAGATCTTGCTTTTGTCGAGCATGTTATTAGCTGGAGACCACTGTATTATCAAAAGGGTTGAAACTGCAAAGATATACAATTAAGATTATTTAAATGCAGTGTGATTAGTTTCGGAATGTTTGCGACTTCAACCTGCTTGTTTTGTTGCCTTGTATTTGATTCCCACTTCTTGCTTTGATTTGTTTCTCTTGTTTTATTTCAGAAGGTACTTCGAGTGAAGGAAAGTGGAATTCCATCAGAAGAGGGCAGCAAATGGAAGTATTTTCACATATTTATTACAATATGTGGGCCTTTATTCCTGATTTATCTCAATCTCCGCTGTGAAAAGGTTAGTTGTATTGAATTCAAACTTAAAGTGTTTAGTACTAAAGCGAGTTGTCGGCTTTGTCATCAAATTCTTTCATAATGAAGTTTTAAACGTATTACATGTACTGGCCTAAAAATATATGAGCAAATAATCCACCCACACGAGGAGGGGTTGCACTGATTTAATTTATGAGAGTACAACCAGTGAATTCTTTTGCGCATAGTTTCTCATTATTTTACAAGAGGGATGTGGAGTAAAATGGATGCCTTTGCTTGGCATCTTCGTGAACAATCTGAGGTGGATTCAATGTTAGGTTTTAAATTTTAATCTCCTTCTGACCATTGTGGACTCTTGTTCAAACCAACAGACTGTTTTGTGCTTTGAGTAGTCTAATGTTTGTCATTTTTAACTGTTAAAAATGTTAAATTTTTGTTGAATGTGAATCTTATTGTTGAAGAGTTTTTAATGTTTTAGTAAAGTCTCATTCCAGTGTTACTTTATTCCCTTCTTGTTTTTTCAACAGAACCAGTGTGTCTTGTTCCAGCTTCCTTTGGTTGTCCCCACCCATGTTGGTGCATACTTCTCAACTACTGCAACGCTCATGCTCTTTGGATTCTTTGCACTTGTGTTTCTCTTCAGTTTATCAGCTGCTCATAGCAGTAAAAAAGGTATTTTTCCTTTCTTTTAGAACAGAGAAAAGTGAACTTTCAAAAATTTAATTTAGTGCTTCTGAAAGTGTAACAATCTTAAACTTATTAAATTCTCATCACTTTCTTGATTGACAACACATGTCTGACGTTAATGGGATCAATACGAATTTAAAGAAGGCACTTTTTCCTGTCCCATCTGTTTCCTTGAAAAGTTTAATATATGGATGAATCAGGAATTCTTTTGCACCTTCCTTCTGCAAACAAAGTAAAATGCTGTGTATTCTTTGCACACTGGTTAATATTTTATTATAGTCTCAAAACTCAAAAGCCAAGGAATGTTGAACGATAAGGGCTGAGTGTTTAATAATTCATCTTCATTTTGTTATTGTAAAGTTTGTTTGCTATTGCAACCCTTACTGATTTATATTATGATACTTGAATCTAAGGTTAATGTTGTTTTATTTAGATATATATGCATATATTGATATTTGTTTTTTGCTTTGCTACTGAATTTTGGCAGTTTTATCAATGACTCAATTCCCTTTTTTTTTTCATGCCAATTTCAGAGCATCATAATATGCCCCCTGGGTTTTCTTCTTTGATGTGCACGAGCTTGTTGTTGTTTGCTCTGGCCTATCTGAAGCCGGCTTATATTCACCTGGCGCATGCTGAATATCTGAGGCTTCTTACAACTGCCACAGTCTTTTGCTTCGTATTCAGTGGAATCCTGGCTCTTTTGTCACGTCTGAAAATTGGAGGACAATTTGGTAAAACAGGTGGGTTGGTGTGTTCCTCACTTTGTTACAGTTCATATTTTGGTTTAAAAAAACCCAACAGCCCAAGGTTTTCGAGTGATGGTAATCTGTATTAGTCTGATTCGGCACTTATATGACTTAATTGTGTTGGAGTGCTGTATATATTCTGAGGGGGTTTTTTTTTGGGGGGGGGGTTGTTGTGTTGTTGGGGGTTCTGTTCATGCTATTTTCTTAAAATTTATGGAGACGTAACCTTTTTAGGGTTTTTGAAAAAGGTTTTTCTTTTCTTCTTTTCTTAATGCTATATCTTATTCTTGAAGGGTTTAGCAAATATTTGTGGTGATCAGTTATCATCTAATCTAACTGAAAATTAAATGCTCTTCACAAAGCCTCACCTTTGGAATTACACAAAATATTGTTGTGAGTGTGGCTCATAAAAACTTACTAGATCTATATTACATTTACACATTTATTCATTTTTAGTAATTTTTAATGGACCTTTTTCTAGTTGGCTTTTCAAACGTAGCTCATTTGCGACATTTCTTACCTCCGCTTTGTATCTAATGCAATTTGTCATTTTAAAGTTGAATAGAATTTACTCAGACAGAAAGCTGTGTGCATTTGTACTTATCAGACATCCTCGTGAATTTTTGTTAATACATAATTAAGAAAACAAGTCTTATTGTTTTTCTATTCCAGAAAAGTCATTTCCCTCTGCCTTTTATCATGGGTCCTGCACAACACTGACTCTCGCCCAAGTTGAACTGAAGTACTTCTTCTATGTTCATGTGGGACTGGTTGCTTTGGCCTTGTTGGATTTGCTAGTGCTCCTGGACTTTGCCCTGAAGCACACTGTGACGGCACCGCTGGCTTTTCTGGCTACGACACAGTATCTTTTAGTTGCCCATACTCTTTTGTATGAGGTGAGTGCACAAATTTGTTTTTCTTTAGTGTTGTATACATTTTGCAGTTGCTGGTGCACTTGTGTTTAGTAATGCAGAATGATCTAATAGTAGTATGTGCTTCAGGTATAGTGTTCTGTTGACTGCTCATGTATTACTGTGGATACCATGTCGTGAGATATATTCCCTTGAAATTGAATGTCACAACTTAAACACTGACATACAGTTTGATAGAAACAGATATTGTTTATTGAGGTTGTTTCTCACATTGAGACAACATATTTAAAGTTTTCATTCCTTTTTTTTGGGATTGCCTTTTTTGCTATATTTTTTCTTTGTGCTTTCTTTTTCCCTTTCTTTTTGACCATTATTTTATTGTGTTAGATGCTTATTTTTTCTGTAATTCAAAGACTTGTTTTAGTGAAGTATTAGCCGTCTGACACCAACTTTTGAATGAATGTTTCAGCGTACGATAATGTACTATATAGCAGTTGTCCGAGTGGAGCTGATGTGCATGGGTCAAAATATAGGATCTGGGGGCCGGGGTTCAAAGGGTCACGGGTACATCGTTAATATTGAAATTTCATTTTCTTTGTTGCAGAGCTTCCTAATGAAAAAGCCGTTTATAGATTCTGAAAAGCTGGGCTTCTTCTGGCTGCTGAAAGTGCTCCTGTACCTGCCTTTCTTCCACTCCCTTCCAGTGCTCTACACATCAGTCACTGAAATAGTTCTACCTAAACCTGCCATGCTTGCTGACTGCGTGCTGTTCTGTGAGTGTTTCACTTTTTCAGTTATCTCTTATGTTCTTGTTTATGTTCCTTCTATGCTTGATGTACAGAAAAAACATCCACCTCCATAAATGCAATGTAGTAGTTTACTTGTAGAATTTGCACATGGGAAACATGGATCTGAAGGAAAGTGAATTGAGCTAATTTTTTAGACAGAGAGAATGAGGGGTTTATTTGTCAGGTCTAAGATATGATGGTGTGGATATTGTAGTTCCTGACGTCTGCATGGTTTCTATTTCCTTCCTGAATCCACAAACCCCTTTAGATTTCAATGCCCATGGGGAGTACGACTATTTTGGAATCAAAGTATTTTCCTGAAATTAAAGAACATTTGTTGTAGAAATTGTAGAATATTTATTGTTGACAGTTACTGAAATTGATTTTTCGGTGTTACAATGTTTGCAGCATGCAAGTTATAAAAAGTGTCTGAAATTATCATAACTAATTTCATTTTTTTTTCAGTGTTTGGCTTTATCATCTATACCAGCTCCATCCATCAGAAAGAAAATTTTGCTGTTGATCCAAATGCATACAGGAGTAAGTTATCAGACTGCACTTATTCTAGATGAAATGTTTAAAATGTTTGAGTAAGGAGAAGCTCAGTATCACATGGCCACGTTATCATTTAGTACTTTGGGGAGAAAGAGACAAGCAGAAACAAAATACAGAGAAAAAAGGAGTAGGAATTACTAATGGCACTGATGTTCAAAATGTGAATGAGTCCCTCATGGTATATTATTAAATTCTTTTATTTTATTAATATTCATATAAGGGTCACATTGTAATCCAGTAGGAAATAAGGAAATGATAGTAATTATTACAAAGTGCTTTTCGTATTGGTTCAAGTCTTTTATCTTCTCTGCTTATGTATCTGAATCTTTGAAATTCTATTTCGGGGCGCAAGTATTATACCTGTAGAGTAATAATAAATGGGGCTAGAATTGTCTAAAAAGCCGTTAAAGAAATATGGTATAGTTTAGATCAGGAGTGGGCAGAGATTGTGGATGAGGTTTCACTTTGAACACCAAAATGTTGCATATTTTGAAACAGTACATGAAGTGCTAGGTAACCTTACCTTTTCTTCTTTAAAAAAATTATTATTACAAGATGCAGGGGCAGTGCGTATGCTAACATCAGATTTCTACAACAGTACAAAAGCTTGTCTCGGCTAAAGCACATTGACATTTTGCTACCTCAGAATTACAAAGTACTGGGACGTTTTTAGCCATTTTGAGTAACTAAGACGATAAGGTCAGAAATCAAATGCTCTATCCACTCTTTCAAAATCGAAGATTATTCGGAGTTGTTATTAAGATATTACAAGAATTGTATTCGAAAAAGCTTGGAATATTGCGAAACTCAAATTTTTTAACGTCAAATTTGTCAAAACTAGATACTGAGCAGATAGAACTTTGTGATTCTGAGGTAGTGATTTGTGATCACTTTTATGAGAATTAATATTATTTTTCTATTATTTTTTTGTTTGTTTGCTTTGGTTTCAAACAAAACTGCAGAAGACTTTTACCCAACCCTAATTTAGAATTGTGATGAAACTGAGTTACTGAAGAGCAAAAATAATGTTTCCATTAGGCATACAGTAAGTATGGTATGTTATTTCTTTGTGTAATGTGCTTGAAATTTGTCAGCTGATTGGAATGGCTGTTTTTTGAACATTTGTGCGCAGGTCTGAAGTCCATCACTGTCCCAGGTCGGCGGCTGTTGATCAGTGGGTACTGGGGAATTGTTCAGAAACCTGACTACCTCGGCTACATGATTATCTGGCTCTCTTGGATTATAGCTTGTGGTAAGGAGCAGAAACATTAAGATGACCAACAGTTGGAGAATTATTCTTATAAATCTTAGCTGTTCTTGAGTTAACTTGGATGATGTTTGGGAACTGTGTAACACTTTGAAGTCACTTGGCGCAAGAATGCGACGGTGAAAATTATCTGTTCTGATCACCTGGTGCAGTTCTGCGCCAGGCCCGAAAAGTCTGTTGCAGTCACTCTCCTGGCTGGGTGACCAGATGGGTTATTTTGTACTGCTGGCTGTGTGACTGCAAAGTGTTAAGGCAGTCCCAGTAGAAAATGTAATTTACTCATTCATCCACCTGTTTTTGTTTTGTATTGCTCATCTCATGAGTGGGAAAGCACTTGTCAGTCACTATTTATTTCAGTAGAAAGTTAAGTTTTGATAAAGACTGAACAAAATGGAGAAATAATGCTTCACAGTGTCTGGGATCAAGATTTAGTTTGAAGTGGGGTTACTGGTTTCACAAACATAATTATGTTCACCCTGAGGGTAGCCTGTATATAAAATGTCTTTATTTGTGGGAAGGAAAGATAGTATGGGTAAGGATTTCCGTTAAATTAATTGCTATATTCGTGTACATGATTCATGGAGTTGTCAGTGTAACAACATGCAGCAGTTTTTTGTGCAGTTTTAGATTGATAGGTGTTGACCAGTGTTTTTTCATGGGATGAACAGGTCAACATTGAATGGTAATTACGAGGATGGATGAATTATGAGAGGTTCCAGTCAGAAATCTCTAAATGAAAAAAAAGGAAGAGGGTCAGGGTTGTGTGAATTATTGTTCTGTAGACTCATTGAATGAAAAATTCTCCCTTTAGATCTTTCCAAAACCCTTTTCTTGTCTCTACAGGGCTGAGTGGTCTCTCCTTGGTGGTACTGACCATCATATACATCACCATGTTTGTATGGTTACACCAAGCAGCGCAGGTAAAAAAGACCAAGTATCACTCTGGATGGACGCGGTACATAAATGTGGTGCCCAAAAAAGTGATCCCCTACGTATATTGAGAATGTTGGAGGGCACCACGGCTTGAAGTTCAAGGCGAGAACAAATAACTTGAGCCTTGAGGAGAATGTTGTTTTTTGTTTTAACTGGCAGGTGCTTTACAGTAAAAGAGATGATGGTGAATATACCATGGTTGTTTTGTCAAAGGCAAGGCATGCAGGTTGTTTTTGTCATAACATTTGAAAAATGAATCCTTTTTATTTTCTCATAATGGGCAATGATACACACACAAGTCAGCTGGATCTATGTTAAAAAAGCCTTGTTTTAAGTACATAGTGAAGGTTTTGTGCTCAGCAGAAATTGGTCATCTTGATATCATCATCAGTAATATTTAAACTGCTGAGGTGTAGTGTGTGCCAGTTGACTGGTTGAATGAAGGTTAAATTCATGGTTTGAATTATTATGAGCTGCACTAGTGTGTACTATGTATAGGGGGTAAAATTTGTCAACCTTGATGGAAGAGATAATGTTTGTCCACATGTAGTCCTCAAATATTTGATAAGTTAAAAGAGTCAAAACTTTTCATGTTTGCTTCTCCTTATCAGTCCGACTGTCATTGGTTGTGGCTTTTTGTTGTGTAAATTTGGGGTAGTGATTATTTGGAGCTGCTACCGAGTTCCTGAGGTTTTAAGGGTGCGTTGCTGATATTCACACATTATTTCATCTTTTTTTCACAGTCCTATTTCAAGTCACCTGTATGTTTTGTAATGAAAAAAATAAATGTATTTGCCATCAATTTCAAATGAATTTTTTTTTTAATGACCAGTTTGTCTGTACTCAGAATTTTGTATATATATTGCATTTTACAGAAACCGAATAAAATGTTTCCTGCAAAAAAATTGCTAATGCCATTGTGTTCTTGTGGATTCTTTTTAAAAAATTTATTTCAACCCTCTTGGATATTTGATGTTATTTTTTGTCTTTGATCTAGATCTAATTACTCTTTCTTTTTTCCACAAAAATTCAAATTTTCATGTCACTTTTTGATCACAGAGTGTTGTTTTAAATTTTGTATTCCACGTTGGGTGCGTTTGTTGTAGTGTTTTTTATTTGTAGTCTTTAGCTTATTTTATAATAATTACACTGGTTTTTCAAAGCAGCGTAAAAATGTCTGTTATTAGTTCCTTTTACTTTTGTTAATATTTGTTTATTCCCTGGTAGTCACTGTGTTTACATTTTGGGAATTGTTATTTGTTGGGCTTCAGACTATTGTCCTTGCATTATAAATTTGATATTGATTGTTAATAAGCTATGCTTTTCTCTCTTATTCAATATTGGACAATTTTTAAAAATTTCTTGGTGGTTTCTACAAGGAATGTTGTAAAGTTTGTGTGTGCATTTGGGATAAGCAGTGAATATGGATGTTATTTTTAGCATTTCTGTTACCCCAACCCTTTTTTGTTTTGTTCACAGGTAACATTCTTTCAACTACATAAAAAAGATGCCAAGCCCAAAGAAGGTAAGATATCTTTTTCTTTTGAGCCTTGCATTTTTTAAAGTAGTGACTCGGAGCACAGAGCTGAGATGTTGTGTCAGTATATGTCAGTAAGATATAATTTCTGACACTGAATCCAGTCAAGGAAGACAAGAGACACAGTTCTTGGGACTTCGTCACACAGACTCTTTTGCATACAGCTGTTTTCCAGTCCTTTTTCAAGCATTCAAAACATTTTCTTAAACTTAAAAAAAGCCTCATAGACTTTGCGCATGCCCACTTTTCTATGTTGATTTAGCTTAGAGTCTGCATACTTATTTCATGGATGCTTAGCTTACTTACTTTACTTTTCCTTTTTTCATTCCACTGGTACCACTGCTTTGTAACAGAGAGAACTCTGAGAGTGCTGTTTACAGAGTTGATTCAGGGATGTCTTTGTCTCTCTGTGCTTCTCCAACCAGAGTGTCCCGTGTTGTAGGCTTGCAGTGCTGTTTGGGAGGTGGCGGAACCATTTTACTCTCTGTTGTTCAATATGGTGGAGGACTGGTGTTGTTCCTGACCTGGTCTCTCTTGGTCTTGTTCATTATTCTCCTCAGACATTTCATCTCGCAGGTGGTCAGTTTCTTTTCCTGTGTTTTGGTCAAGGGTCAAGTTTGTCTCTGATAAATGTGGAATTGATGAGTTTCCCTTATTGTCTATTGGGAAGTTTGTGGGTGGTTGGCGGGTGCTCTGGTGCGGTTGGCGTCTTCTTTCCTATCAAACTTCTGTTGTCCTGATCTCCCCTTCTTCTTTTTTGTGTTTGTTACTCTCTTGTAACACCTTTAATCTTCTGGCGCTCATATGACCTTATGCAGTTGCGAGCGCCGTAAAACCTCTGCTTTTAAACAAACATGTGGAATTGGTGAGTTTTCCCTTATTGTCTATTGGGAAGTTTTGGGTGTTTTAGGAGAAGTGTTAGTGGATAACTGATATTGTGTTTACTTTCTGGCGTCAAATTTCAATTTGTTTTTCTACTAAATTATCTTCTAAAAGAATTCTGCCTAAATATTTGAATTGACTGGCTAGCTTCAGTTTGGATCTGTTGATATTGGTTTCAAGTGCTACGGGTTTCCTACAGGTACTCAGAACCTCTGTTTTGCTCACATTAATTTTCATACCGCTTGCAGCAAGCATTGATCTGGTATATCTATATTCTTGTAGCCCAGCTACATCCCAGTATTCCCTGTTAATTATTGACTTGCTTGTTGGTGAACAATAACTCATTGAGTGGCTCAGAGTCTGGGTTAGCTGCAGTTGTTATCGGTCCAAAATGATGACAAAAACAGAGGGGTGAGGACACAATCCTGCCTGAATCCGGATGCTACTGGGAACCAACCAATCAGATGTGCCACTAGTGGTGTGGACTAGGATGCTCCTGCTGTTATTGTAAATTGTTCTGATGTTGTCCAGCATCTGCCCCTTGGTATCATACTAGTGCAGCTTGTCTCTGTTGATCTTGTGGAAGGCTTTTTCTTTGTCTGTGAATACCAGATGGAGATGTTTAATAAGTATTCTGCAGACCTCCCACTCAGTTACAGGGTTCTTTTTTTCACTGCTGTTGTGTCTGAATTTGGGTGTTTTGGGGGTTGAAAAAAACAAACTTCTTGTATATGTGCTGTGTAAAATTTGTGCAGATATTTACGAGTCTAGCCAAGATTCTTATTCTTGAATGTTCAGTTTGTCAAGTAGTTCTATTTAATCAAGTGTCAGTACATTCCATGTTTTTAAAGTTTTTGTCTGTTTTTATAGAAGCATGCTTTGACTGTCAGTTTTATCAATGGTGTGCTGGTAGATAGTTGCGCCTTCTTTCTCATCAAATATCTGTCTTCATCTCTCCTTCTTATTTCTGTTTGTTATTCTTCTGTAACACCTCTAATTTCTGGCACTTATATCACCGTGGGTTGTTGGCGGGTGCTGTGGTGTGGTTTGTGCTCCTTTCCTATCATACATCTATCGTCCTGATCTCTTCTACTTCTTTTCTGTGTTTTTTACTCTCTTGTAACACCTCTAGTCTTCGGCACTTATATGACTTATTGTGTTGTAAGTGCAGTAAAACTCTTACTAAAAAAAAACAATCCCAAAAAACTAATTGTATTGCAAGTGCAGTAAAACTGAATAAAAGATATGCGGTCGCTTATTTTTGTTAGCTATATATTACAAATGTGTAGAAACATGGCAGAGCCGGTTTAAACAACAGACGTAATCTGGGTTATTTGAGGTCCTACTTCTTTCCTTTCCCAGCTGATTGTTATTGTCTGTCTGTCTGTCTTGTGACATGACTTTGTTTCGGCGTGTGAGTTCCGCGCGTGTCGGGGACGGTCCGTTCACGGGGTCAACTTCAGTTCATGCACACTGATGGAAGCGTCTTTCGGGACTTA